TGGGCCAGGAGGCCTGTGGGCAGGGTTCCTGAGGCTAAGGGAGGAGGGGCTGGGTTCGGGACCCCTGGTCTGAGGAGGAGGGGGCTGGGGTCTGAGGGAGGAGGTCCTCTTCAGTGCCCTCCATGCCGGCTCACAGACCCCTACGTGAAGGCCTCTCTGATCAGCGAGGGGCGGCGTCTGAAGAAACGGAAAACCTCCATCAAGAAGAACACGCTGAACCCCACGTACAACGAGGCGCTGGTGTTCGACGTGGCCCCCGAGAGCGTGGAGAACGTGGGGCTCAGCATCGCGGTGGTGGACTATGACTGGTGAGGGGCGCGGCCGGGACAGGAGGGGAAGGGGCGCGGCCGCCCCCTCCCGCCGCTAACCATCCCCCTTCCCAGCATCGGGCACAACGAGGTGATAGGCGTGTGCCGCGTGGGCCCCGACGCCGCCGACCCGCACGGCCGCGAGCACTGGGCCGAGATGCTGGCCAACCCCCGCAAGCCCGTGGAGCACTGGCATCAGCTGGTGGAGGTGAGCGCGGCCGCCCCCAGAGCCCCTCGCCCCTTCCTGCACCCAAGGCTCGGCAGGGTCGGGGAAGCTGCGCTCCAGTCCCTGCTCCCCCAGCTTCAGCTTGTGGCTTCGAGCAGCCTCTCTGCTTCCGTTTTCTCTGCCGGGAAATGGACTTTTTCCCAGGAATAGGGAAGGATTTAAGCGGCTGAGCACGGAACCCCGATGTGAGTTTTGAAAAGCTGTGGCTGCTTAGCTGGACAGCTAGCTGTTCCCTTTTTCCATCACTCACTCTTCTCATTTATTCACCCATTCATTCCACAGACTTCTCCAGAAGCTCCCATGTGCCATGCTCCTGCTGGGCAATGCAGGGCTGGGGGGCACGGAGAGGAGTTGAACCCTGGCTGAGGCTGGTCCTGACCCTTTCAGCCAGCAGTTCTATATATGGCCCCAGAGGCATTTTCTACCTGCAGGGCTGACACTGCCCCCTTCCTGCACTCACAGCCCTTCGAGGCTCCCCAGCAACACACCCCTCCCCTCAGCCTCTTGGCCCCTCAGAGGCCCCATCACCCCTGTGACCTTATCTCGCTTTACACTTCCTGCGGCTTCTTTGTGCCTCAGTTTCCCCATCAGTAGACTAGGACTGTAATCCCACTTGCCTCATCACTTTTTCAGAGCTGAGTGGGAATGATGAAAACAGGTTTGATGTCTCATTTGATGTTGATTATTAGAGATTGTTTTGCCTCTCTTGCCCATTCCTGAACCTTCTGGATTCCCACCTTCAGGAAAAGACTTTGACCAGCTTCACTAAAGGCAGTAAAGGATTGTCAGAGAAAGAGAACTCAGAGTGAGGGGTAAGGAACCTAGATTGGGGGTGGGGGCTGGACAACTGGACTCCTGGGTCCAAGGGTGGAAGGGCACAGGACCTGGATTCCTGGGTCCTTGGGGCGGAGATGGAGCAGTAGCAGGTCATCGGCCCATTCTTTGCTATGACTGATGTTTCCTCCCTACCCTGTCCTGCAGGTCTGGCCTAGGCTCAGGATCGGACCAGGCCCCCTCAGGACCCCATCTCTTCCTGCCCGGACTGTGAATTCATCTCCTCGAAGCCATAACGTCCGAGCTGCGTGGTGCGGGGCAGCCCTGGGCTGCCCACCCTTCTACCCCCCAGGAGGCGTGAGGGTGGGAGGCAGGCGGGCTCAGCTCCCTGTGACTGGATGGGGGGAATTCAGCTGCCACTGTGTCTGTCTGCCCTTCCCTGGGGCTCCCCTTCCAGGCAAGGGGCTGTGCATGTCTGGGGGATCCCAGCCCCCCAAAACCCTCAGTCTGTCTGTTTGTCTGTTTCTTTGCTGTTAGTCCAAAACTTGGTGTCCTGACCCTTATTTTCACCTGAATGTCAGCAGAGTAATCCTCCATGTTCCCCCAGACATGTACACACCCACGTCTACCCCTTCTGTTTGCCACACCCTGCGTCTGGCTGATCCCCCCACCGCTGCTGCTATCAATGCCAGAATAAACATATACTGTGGGTCTCACTCCATCTGGGGCTCTTGTCCTCTCTGAGATGGGGAAGCTGGGTTGGAACATCCTGGATCTGGGTTCAGATGAATGTTTCATTCACTGACTAGGTGACCTTTGCAACTTAGCTGATCTCTCTGAGCCTTAGTGTGTAAATGTTACATTGGCCAGGACCACTATGATTATAGGGTACAACATGCAACACAAATTACTGTAAGCCACAAGCAGATTGGAAAGACCTGTGTGCATGTGAGTCTGAGCATACAGAAGGACTTCAGGCATAACTGGATCCAGGTGCTCAAGTGACTATGCTTTGCTCTTTATTGGTTTTGTTCTTAGACAAGTCTCTGCAGTGGTAATAACTTAGCCATTTGGAGCTCCAGACTTATTGCATCAAACATAACTCTAACAGAAAGAGCTGAAATGATAGAGATGTCTTTTGCTCAGATAACAAGTCTTTCAAAGACACCCAGTCCCAGGGTTCATTTGGCTGTTCAAGAACATCAGGCATGGGGTTGGCATCTCTGAGATTTGTTTTGCCTTCCATTCATGAGTACAAACTGTCTGCAGGAGCACATGCATTATGTTCTCACGCGGTGACAGCTAAAGCAGGAAATGTAGACAAGGGCCACTCCTTATGTGTTCATCCTTTTTTCTCCCCCAAAGAGTTCTTCCTCACTTGCCAGAACTGGATTCTATGGCCACCCTGAGTTGCAAAGCAGTCTGGGAAAGTGAGCATCTGTCATTTTCTGGTCTCCACCGTGGGGTGTAGGCTTTGTCAGCCAGGAAGCACAGAGAGGGTGAAAGATCTTTGGGTAGAAAATTAACAGGACCTCCTGTAATTGCAAGAAATTAACAGGACCTGCTGTAATTGCCCTCAGAGCAGATGATTTCAGAGGAAACAAAATCGGGGTTCTTGCTTTCTCTCCCCCCCCTGTCTCCCCCCACTGTCTTCTGTGTCTCTGTCTTCCCTTTTCCCTTTTCCCATCTCTGTCTTTCTCCCTTTGCCTCAGTATCAGTCAGGAAAAGGATTCTGATTGGTCCTGTGCAGGCCTTGGATGACCACCTCAGGCCAATCGAGCATCCAGTTGATGAGCTTGCTGTTGGGCCCACCCCTGCCATGACTGACTCCTCCTGCCCTGCCCACCTGCCTGCATTGGCTCAGACCACCTCAGAACCTCATCCCTTCTTGCCCAGTTGTGAATGAATCTCCTAAAGTTGAAGTATTCTTTAGAAGAGAACATAGGGGTCCTTTGATTCACAGCCCCAACAGAATCGCATGGCAGTAGGCAGGGGATCTACTTTCAAAGTAGAAGATGTCCCCTACATTCTGCCCTTGGCTCTTTGGTGTTAATTCACACCCATTTGCCCATGTATACTATTTCGAAATTATTTTCTACCATGAAAAGTGGTACAAGCACTGTATTCATTTGCTAGGGCTGCCATGACAAATTTCCAACTGCCTGACTGGAAACAGCAGAAACGTGTTCTCTCCTAGTTCTGGAGACCAGAAATCTGGAGTTAAGGTTTCAGCAGGGTTGGTTCCTTCTGAGGCTGTGGGAGAGAACCTATCCCACGACTCTCTCCAAGCTCCTGGTGGCTGCTCACAATCCTTGGCATTTGTTGGCTTGTAGATGTGTCACTCCCTTCTCTGCCTCCATCTTCACATCGTCTTGTGCCTGCGTGTGTCTCTGTCGCAAATCTCCCTCTCTCTTTCTCTTTTTAAAAGCACACGTAGCACTGATTTATTTTTCATTGCATTCTAACTAGGGATACATTTACTCTCTTTTCTCAAGGAGTGAGCAGCACCTTTCAGGCTCTAATGAATGTCAAGGTTATAAAGATACAATACGATTTGTAAAGTTCAGCTTAAAGATACACAGGGCAACCTATTAGCATCCACAAGAATCATAGGAGACAGACCATCATGCCAAAGAAACGTACCCTTCAATGTGGCACTCTACTGTCTTCTTGCACATGGTGTTTTTTTGCAGTCTTTAATGATGTCACTGTCTTCAGCAAGACTTTATCTGATACACAAGGGAGATCTGAAGTCAGACAGCCTAGATTCAAATTCCTCCTCGCCGTGTGTTAGCTCTGACTCTGGGTAAAGTAGATCTCTGATAGAGAAAATGATAATGTGTACTTCATAAGAGTGTTATGCAAAGTAAATGTAAGAATGCACCTGAAACACTTCACAGAATAGTTGGTATATAGTAACATGACTCAAATGTTAGCTATTAATATTGATAAGTAGTGATGATTGTGATTGCAAATGTTTATGATGTATTACTAGACTATATTTGTGCATTAGGAATCTTCATAATCACTTTAATATTGACTGACCTAATGTGGAGGGAACAAAATGTTTCAGTGCAGAGAAATGTAAACAGGATAATTTTATCACCAGTTTGCTGTGAATAAGCATGAGGTGGTAACAGTAATTTCTACATGGCTTTTTCTTTCTTTCTTTCCTACCTTTCTCTTATAAGGACACCTGTCATTGGACTTAGGGACTATCTAAATCCACGATGATCTCAGCTAGAGATCTTAATTATGTCTGTAAAGATTCTTTTTCCAAATAAGGTCACATTTACAAGACATGGACCTGTCTTTGGGGGACCACCATTCAACCCATTACAATTATCTTGAAAAGTGGTTTATCAGTTCCTTATAAAGCTGAACATAAACTTATCACGTGACTCAGCAGTTCCACTCCTATGTATTTACCTATGAGAAACAAAATCATCCATCCATGTAAATGGTCACAGCAGCCTTATCCATAATAACCCCAATTTGGAAAACTGGAAATGATCAAGATGTCCATCAATATGGGAATGGAAGCATAGTCAGCCATGAAAAGAACTATGTACTGATATGTGTAGCTCCATGGATAAATCTCAGAAACAGTCTGTTTTGTGAAAGAAGAGAGTACAAATCTCAGAAACAGTCTGTTTTGTGAAAGAAGAGAGTACAAATTGTAGACAAGGGAACAAGAATCTATAGGGGCAGAAGTCAGATCAGGGTTGCTTGAGGCCAAGGGAGTGGGGATGGGGGACTGTTAACAGGCATAAAGGGAGCTTTTGGGATCATGGAACTGCTGTTTCTTGATTGTGGAGGTGGTCCACACTGCACACATTTGTCAAAATTCATTGAACAGTACACTGAAAATTGCTGCATTTAAAATTTTTTAATTGTGGTAAAATATGTGTACCACAAAATTTATCTTAACTCTTCTTAACTGTACAGTTCAGTAGTGTTACTGTAGGTACTTCATGTAAATGAAATCATACAGTATTGTCCTTGAGTTGAAACATGTACCACATTGATGCAAGATGTCAATTATAGGAAGAACTAGGGGTGGCATATTGGGGTGTGGAGCATGAGTGTAGGGTTCCATTACCTTATGTCTTAGGGTATATGGGAACTCTGTACTTTTTGTTCAGTTTTTCCTGTAAACTTAAAACTGCTAAAAACAAAATAAAACAAAACTCAATTAAAAAGAAAAAATCATGGCTAACAGATGCCAGTCGGGCAAAATCAACAGGTGTCCATTATAAGTATCTGTAGCTGCAGTAGGGGGTACACTCTAATAATAGTTTGCACATCAGGGGTTGATTATGGAGATTAGAAGAGATAATAAAGGTGAATGCCACTTGCATATTTAAGAATTTGAGACCAAGGTCATTCATTACTCCCGGGCTCACGGTTTCTCTTTCCTCCTGCCGTACAGTTCTCTAGGCCTCTTTTATGACTTTGCTATTGCAGAGAGATGTAGCCAGTCAAGAGTGATCTTCGGTGACCAAGGCCCCAAGGACCCAGCACCCTGTGGCGCCCTCTGGCGGGAGAAAGGGAGGCTGTCTCTGAAAGAGCCAATCTGGTCAGTTGATTCCCGCAGGGTTCCTGTACCCTCGTGCAACACCCCTCACGCTCCCTGGCGGTTGAAGCACCTTTCTATCTCCCCACTGCCAGTGCTTGTGGGAGGGCAGAAACTCCCACCCTGAGGAGGGAAATGCTGAGAGATTGGGAAGATCAAAATTCCCTGGCATCCAATCAGACACAGGCATTAATTCTCGAGGCATCCAATCAGATTTAGCGGATCCAACCAAATAGCGCAGATATCCAATTAGATGGGGCAGAGTTGCCATGACAACAAGTCTCCATGTGGTTTGCAGGGCCCGTGAGTTCAGGCTCTGAGCGCCTCCTGGCGCTTGGCAACGCTTGGCCCCTACTCCAGCAAGCGCGTGCTGGTTAAAGGCAGCCAATAGGCGGGGCAAAGGCTCCATGACGTCACCAGTTGCCTAGCTGGCCGCCAGAGCGCGTGAGTTCGCGAGAGCTCTGGTGAGGCCGCAGGCGGGTGGCGCCCACTTACTCCAGGGCGGAGGTTGGTGCGCATGCGCTCGTCTTTCTTTTTTTTATTTTAGCGCGAGATACAGGGCGGGAAAATGCGCGAGGCGAGGCGTCAGGGGACCGCCAGGCTGACTGACAGATGGGCCGAGGTGGGCCCTCCGTCCCAGGAAGGCCTGGGACAGGACGTGGCCCCGTAACATTCTGGTGGAGAGACGGCCCTGAAGAGATGCCCGTGCAGAGACAGACTGGAAGCAGCAGAAACGCCCCACACGGGCAGCCTCACCCGAGCAGAAGACGATTCCGGGACGTTAGTTAGAGAGCCAGAGGGGAGAAGCAGGCCGCGACTGGCCAGGGGCAGGGCCCAGGGCCGAGAGGGTGACCGGGATCAGGACGGGTGGAGGGGGGTGCAGAGGAGGAGCGGACAGAAGTAGAGCCCACGGGCACAGACGGGGGGCTGAGGGCGGGGGGACCCAGGACAGCAACACAGAGAGAGGAGACAACCGAGGAGACTGTGGGAGGTGAGCTCAGTCACGACAGAGGATCCTCAGAGGCAAAGGCGACAAAGGCGAGGGCAGCTGAGACAGAGACAGTGAATCAGGCGGCATGGGGGCTGCAGAGGACATGGAGGTGGACAGCAGCTGAGGCAAACCCCAGGGGTCTGGACAGAGGCCAGCGGTCTGAGAAAGAAGGGGGAGAGGAGGCCAGGAGCACAGTAATACAAGAACAGTGCCGTGGAGAGAAGGAGGGCAGTGGCAGAGGAACAAAGACCAGGGGGCACTGATCGAGGGGAAGGAGATATGGGGGACAGTGGCAGACACAGAGAAGGTGACAGTCAGAGATGGAGAAGACAGAGACTCAGAGGTGACAGATCTGGAGGACAGCGACAGATAGAAGACAGAGATAGCCGAAGTACTATAGGGAAACGTGACAAAAAGAAAGGGGAGGGCCCCAAAGTTGGAGGCAACAGTGACAGAGGCAAAGAAAACCACTGCAGACAGAGAGGGCAGAGATAAAAGCAACGATGTTAAGGAAACAGGAAACAGTATTAGATGAGGAGCTGACCGACACAGAGGGGACAGAATGCAAAGCATCAGAGAGACGGGTGGAGGGAACAGAGGCAGAGCTAGCAAGTTCCAAAGGCAGGGCGAAGGACAAGACAGAAAGGAAGAGAAGAGGAGTGGGGGACAGAGGAGGAGGAGGCAGGCTTGGAGGGAACAGCAGCACGGCACAAATGTGGATGGTGAGCAGTAGCGCTGACAGTACCAGAGTGGGAGTGACAGAGCCCTCCAGTGACACAGCGGCAGATGAAGAAATAGAGGCAGAGACGATGGTGACATAGAGGGGCAGTGACAATGGTGACGGAGACAGAAAATGTAGAAACATCAAAGGCATAGAGACAAGAAAGGGGACTGGGACAGAGACAGAAGGATTGTTGACCAAGACAGAGGTTGGCTTGTCTCCAGACTTCCTGGAGACGAAGCTGGGGAACGGGGGTGCAGGCAGTCAAGAACAGTTGGAATTCTATCTCATACAGGAGGACAGAGACAGAACATGACCAAGAAACACAGAGAGAAGTAGGGACACAAAGACAGAGATCAAGCAATAGGTATGAACAGAGAGACGAGAGCAGAAAGGAAATGAGGTCAGAGTCACCTGACAGGCAAGGGTGACAGACAAAAGCAAAGATGGGTGGAGAAGTGAACAAAGTCCCAAAGAGAGTACAGGGGGCACAGCAGCTCATGGACACCAACTGAGGCCCACTACCCACTGCCTGACACCCAGTCCTGAGACACACAGAAAACCGGGGAGGCTCAGGTTCTCTTCTTTATGCAACTTTGGTGAGTTATGATCTTGGTTTGGGGTTGTGTTTTGAAAGGTCTGCACACAGATTCTAGATTTGTGGCCACATTCCTGAACCCCCCAGTGGTCTTGCATCAGCACACTGTAGCCACAGCACAAAGAGGTGGCAAAATCGCTCTTTTCATTCATTTCTTCAACAAATATTGAGTAGTCACCACGTGCCAGACGCTGTTCTGGTGCTGGGAAAACAGCACTGAACGAAGAAAGTATGCGCACCCACAGGCTTTCAACCTAGTTGGTAGACAAATAAATATATAATGTCAAGTGGTGTTAAGTGCCAAGGAGAAAAATCAAACAAAGCTAAGAGATTAGAATAACTGAAGTTGTTGATAATAGCAGGCTAGGTTATTCAGATCTGAAACAACTAAAAATGCTGGATGAAATTTTTTTTTTTAAGCCTTAAAAGCACTGAAGGTCTCATAAGATTTGTCAGGTCATAACTGAAGGGAACTCGAGAACCCAGAGAAATAATATGAGTACTTCTCTACAATTCTGGTAAATTTGAACTTTAACGTTGATGGCTTGGTAGATGAAGAGCATAAAAAAAAGCTTAGTCAGGGCCCACCCAAGGTGGAGAGGCCCCACTAAATTGAGGAGGTGATGACTATACCGTCAGGGTAGGGGAAAATAGAAATAAATTGGCCCTCATTTGTGAATTTGCAGTCCATTACGTGGGTGTGCTGAAAGACCTCAGGTTGTGAATTTAGTTTCAGACTGGCGTTATTTTTAAACCCTTCACACTAGCACACACAAAAACTTTTCTCTGGTGAAAAGATCCTCCATGAAAGGCCTCAAATACCTCCCGTAAACATATTTTCAAGGAAAGCGAGTAGCACACAGTCACATCTAGCCAAGTAGATGAAGTGCATCTGCAAGAACACAGGACCAGCGAAATAAGAACACACTAGAAACAGACACACTAAATACTTCGGTTGGAATTATCAAACATAAAAATAATAGACTTTGTTGATTTAAGATAGGATTGCTATATTTTTTTTGCAGGAACCAAGAAATGATAAAAATGATCTAGATACTTTGAAAATGACAAAACTAGTAGAAACTCAAAACTAAATGAACAGGTGTAAAATTAAAAGCACAGCTGAATAGAAAAATAATGAACTGGAACATAGGTCCTTTTGACCATGCACCATGAAGAGACAGGGCAGAAAACATCTACAAGCAGTTAAGAGGCATAGAAAATGGAGCAAGAGGGTCTTATCTATATTTATTCTGAGTCCCCAAACAGAGAGGAGACTGAGTCACCACCAAAAGAAATAATGGTGGATTTTTCAAATTTTACAAAATTGATAAGAAGCTTGAACCCAAAGATTCAAGAAGCCCAGTGAATCATAAGCAGGATAAATATAAAGAAATACACACCTAGAAATATTATTGTATATTTGAAGACTACCCAGGGCAAAGAGATCTCAGTTGCAGCTAGAGATAACAGACATCCTTCAAAAGATCCATAGTTAGATAACAGCTGATTTCTCAACAATAACAGTGGAAGCCAGAATAAGAGCAATGTGATGATAGGAAATAACTACCAAACTTTATACCCAGTGAAAAATAAATTTCAAGAATGAGACCCAAATAATTTAGGCAGGAAAAAAGTGACCCCTGATGGAATACCTGAGATGCAAAAAGAAATAAAAAGCAAAGAAAGTGATAAATATGTGAGTAAATCTGAACAGATTTTGGCTGTGTAAAACAATAACAGCAATAATAATGATATCTTGTATATAAAGAAAGAACGTATGGAAGCAATCCAAGTGTCCATCAGTAGATGAATGGATAAAGAGGATGTGGTACATATACACAATGGAATACTATTTAGCCATAAGAAAGAACAAATCCTACCATTTGCAACAACATGGTTGGAGCTGGAGGATATTATGCTCGGTGAAATAAGCCAGGCGGAGGAAGACAAGTGCCAAATGATTTCCCTCATTTGTGGAGTATAACAGCAAAGCAAAATTGAAGGAACAAAATAGCAGCAGACTCACAGACTCCAAGAAGGGACTAGTGGTTACCAAAGGGGAGGAGTGTAGGAGGGCGGGTGGGGAGGGAGGGAGATGGGGACTGAGGGGTACTATGTGTAGTGCACATGCTGTGGGGGATCACGGGGAGAACAGTGTAGCTCAGAGAAGACACATAGTGGATCTGTGGCATCTTGCTGCACTGATGGACAGTGACTGCATTGGGGTAGGGTGGGGACTTGATAATATGGGTAAATGTAGTAACCACATTGTTTTTTCATGTGAAACCTTCATAAGAGT